CTAACTTTGCTGTGGGCTAGCTCTGTAGCCCCGGTAGCCAGCCCTTACACTTGCGGTCCTGTCTCAGCTTCCAGAGCAGCTGGGTTAGGCTCGGTGCCATCATGTGTCTTTGGAGAACTAATAAAAAATACTTCCTTTGGAGTACTATCTAAACCACATACATAAAATTACGCTTATAAAATTTGAATATTAAGAGCTAGCCAAGTGGTGGTACCAAGGCTCTAATCACAGCACTCAGGAGGCTGAGGCAGGCCGATCTCGTGAGTTCAAGGCCAGCCTGATCTATAGCACTAGTTTCAGGTCAGTCAAAGCTACAAAGAGAAATCCTGTCAGCCGGGAGGTGGTGGCACACACCTTTAACCCCAGCACTCAGGAGGCAGAGGCTGGCCATCTCTCCAGGCCTAATTCATGGCTTTGAAGACCAAGAAGTTCTGTCAGCTCAGGGTAAACATGGAACTGCTGCGGCAGAACTTGCCCTGCCCTGCCTGGGTTGAGGTCAGATGAGAATCAGATGAGGAAGAAGACAGTGAATGGGATCTTTGTGGGATCCACCCTGACCCCTCTACTTCTCTGTAGGAAGTTGGAGCTGCCACCTGTGTCTGGATCTGCTGAAGGAGAAAGCATCCATCTACCAGAACCAGAACTCCTCCTGATGTGCCACCCAGCTCCCCACACATCTAAGGCTGTTGCTCTCCTCTACCTTGGTTTTCATTCCCCCTCTTCTTCCTCTTTCACGTGGTAGTGCTGCCAGCCTGCCTTTGGCAACAGCACAGGGAGGTGGCAGCTCTAACTGCCTCTGGCCCCAAGCCCTCAGGGAGTAAGGAGCAGCACACTGCCCCAGGGCTGACCTGTGGGCCCAACTTCTCTCTGCTCTCCAAGAAATGCATTCACTCTGCTTGCCTTGGGCCCAAGTCCCTGGTGATCACAGGGTTCAGATGGGGTCCTCTGAGAAGAAATATGAGAGCAGCTCACTGTCTCAAGCCTGGCCTAGGCTCCCTACTCTGGTTTCCAGGGTATTGCCCCAGAGGTGAGCCAGGCCAGGCCTTTGCTGGGAGCAGCTAGAGTGAATCAGGCTGAGGTGGCACTTGCCAGGACCTTTTCATACCCCTTGTTCTGCTTCCCTTTGCCTCCTGCCAAAGCAGTCCCGCATCCTCTGTCAAGCTACATGGGGTTCTGTGCTTGAGCTGAGATGCTCTCAGGCACCTCCTGGTTCTGCCCTGTCCTGCCCAGTCCCACAAAGGGACAAGCAACTTCAACCTGTGCTTCCTGTGCTTGGCTGGCGTGCTCACGGGTGCTCTCTGGCAACCCAAACATTTTCCATCCTCAGAACTTCCCATCCTCTGCCTCCTTCCTTATTCCCTTTGATTTTGTGGGGAGAGGGACGGTGTCAGGGGGCTGTGCCAGCAGCTTGGGGGCCACAGGGAGAAGTTGGATAATGTGCCTGTTTTTTAACTCAATAAAAAAAAGCCTACCTCCAAAATCCCCTTTTTGTTCTTCCTGGACCTGGGCATTCAGCCTCCTGTCCTTAACTGAATTAGGAGCCTCTGCCTCCTGCCTGTGTACCCTGGCTCTCAGGTCACAGGGAGGTCCCCTTTCCATGCAAGCTAGCTTGCAGCTGGTAAGGTCTTCACACCCTGATTTTTCTGTTTCCTGCTTAGTGGCACTGACATTAAGTAGGAGGGGATAGTCCATGCCAGGATACTCTGGAGTGGCCTTCCCCCTTGGCTGTGGGCAGGCCCTAACTGTTGTTTTCTGCAAAGTTAAGGCCCCCTCCTTCCATCTTTAGTTCCTGTATTCAGAACATTAGTAAAAATAAACATTTTTACAGAGCTCTCTGCTGGATGGTTTGTCTGCTCGTTTGTTGATGATTTATGTCGTTGAAAGGCCATTTACTTTCTTAGGACAGTGGGTTTTTGGAAAAACGGAAACATTTTTTCCCCAAATCAAAGTTTTTGCTAAACTCCACCATGCAAAGCAGATGTTTAATTATTTTGCTAGTTTTGTTATGTAAATTCAAGTTTACAGCAATTATGTCAGTCATTTAAAATGGGCCCAGGAGCTTGTTTGTGGTATAAATTCAAAGAAATTAAAGCAGGGCCTGGAGAGGTGGCTCAGCAGGGAAGAGGAATGCTTGCTCACTGTTCTTGCAGAGGACCAAGTTCAGTTCCCAGCACTCAAATCAAGTGGTTCACAACCACCTGTAAGTCCAGCTCCAGGGGCTCTGGTGCTTCTGTGGCTGGCTCAGCCCTCTGCACTTGTGCATGTACCCACCTGCTCACCCATTTCCATACATACAAACCACTGTCCTCGTGGAGCAAGGAAAGCTTTGGACAGGTGATGAGGGCAGCCAGCGGGAGAGCATCCTCAAATCTTGTCATCTGGCCTACCTTTCATTGCCTGCAGTATTGCTAAGCCTGTGCAGTGCTCCAGGGCCAGAACTGTCCAAAGTGGAGCCTTCCAGCATGCCCAGCAGGCAGTGACTTCTTCCAGCCAAACCAGTACTTTATGTTCTGTAGTGGATCTTGTACAGCTCACTTGAGTGTGTGTTGACTTTCAGAGTGTGAGCTGGCGGTGGTGGCAAAGTACTTGAGACTCAGCACTGGGGAGGCCGAGGCCGGTGGGTTTCCTCACTCCAGATCAGGTTCCAGGACAGCCAGGGCTACACAGGGAGACCCTGTTTTAAGAAAAAACTATTTGTATGGGTATGTGCACATTACTGCAGAGGCCAGAGGAAGGTATCCGCTAGAGCGGAAATTACATGAAATTTTGAGCCACTGATGGGGGCGCTAGGAACTGATGTGATGGAGGGGGGTGTTTTGTTTTTAATGAGTGTTTTGCCTGCATATATGTACCGAGTACATGAGAGAGCATGGAACTGAAGTTAAAGATGGTGGTTTTAAGCCACCATCTGCTTGCTGGGAGTAAAATCCAAGACTTTGGAAGAACATCCAAGGCTCTAAATGGCTGTGCCATGTCTTCAGCTCCTGAACTCTGGTCTCTTGGAAGAGTGCTGCACCGAGATCTGTCACCAGCCCTGGGTATAGAACTGGGTGATGGCTCAGCCAGTAAAAGCACTTTCAATTCAAGTCTGACCACCTGAATTCTGTCCCTGAAGTCAAGGTAAGACACTGGGTGCTGCCTTGTGTAACTCATCCCAGCATCCCAGAGGGACATGGATTGGAGACAGTCTGCTGGAAGCCTAATACCCAACTGGGTTGGAGGATGCCACACCGCAAACCCCAAAATACACTCCCCTACACTATTCCACAGCAATACTGAGGCATATGTGTGTCATGCCTTTTTAAAAGATTTGTTATTTATAATACTCTGCTTGCATGTGTGCCAGGACACTAGAACAGGGCACCAGATCGCATTATAGATGGCTATGAGCCGCCCTGTGGTTGCTGGGAATTGAACTCAGGACCTCTGGAAGAACAGCCAGTGCTCTTAACCCTGAGCCATCTCTCTAGGCCTACACACAGACTTTTTAAAAAGGACTCAGGCACACAGACACACAGGTATTTGATACTGCTTTGTTTGCTGTGTAGCCTAGGATGGCCTCAAACTTGTGATCCTGCTTCACCCTCCTGGAGTGCCGGGAATAAAGGCCACCAGGCAAGGTTTGAGTGTGTGTGTGTGTGTGTGTGTGTGTGTGTGTTTTAAAGTTAAATATGTGTCACCTGAAATGTCTTCAGATTTTTCTAGAATATACTGAGGTAATTGTTGCCAATTGTAAAGAAATGGCTCAGTGTGGCTGTTCTTCCAGAGGACCCGGGGTTCAATTCCCAGCACCCACATGGCAGTTCATACCTGTAATTCCAGTTCCAGGGGATCACATACATGCAGGGATAAACAAATTTTTACATACAATAAATATAAAAAAGAAAATCTGAGCCCTGGCCAGGCATGGTGGTGTGCCAGTAATCCCAGCTCTCTGGGAGGCAGAAGCAGATCATCTCTTGTGAGTTTGAGGCCAGCCTGGTCTACAAAACGAGTCTATAGGTGAAACCCTGTCTCAAAAAGCCAAATTAAAAAAAAAAAAAAAAAGTTGAGCCTTGGGCTGCTACTGCACTCGGTAAATCGGCAGAACTCTTTGGGCTGAGATCTGAGACACTGTCTTTGCTATGTAGGCTTGGAGTACAGAGGCAGGCAGGCAGTTATCCTTCGCAACTGAGTAGTCTTTTTATTTTTTATTACAATTTATTTACTTTGTATCCCAGCTGTAGCCCCCTCCCTCGACTGAGTAGTCTTGAGGGCCAAAAAAAGAAATGTACAAATGAGACCACTAAAAGATTTAAGAGGAAATGGTAGATTCGCAGAAGACATTTGGAGAGATTGACATGGTGGGCTCAAAACCTATGGAAAAGACAGAAAAGTGGGGTCCCGGCTGTTTAAAGGGCAGAGAGGTTAAGTTACCTGCCATAGTTCAGGACCAAATGTTACAAAGCAGGGAAATGACATAAGAATTTAGATCTTGCCGTGAAGCACCGAAGCTGGAGTCTTCTGCTGGTTGCCAAGCCGGAGGCCACCGCTGTCCATGGTAACTAGTTTTGTGACTTAAAGCTTACATGCATCCATTTTCTCCTTTCATCTTGTTTCCAAAACAATTCCGGGACGGCCTGTGTCCCTGTTTGGTAATCCACGGGGATGGGGTCGAAGCCACCTGGGTCACCGCGTTGGCGCGCCCTTCGGCGAGAGACAGGCGCTAAGGCCAGGTCCTCCCCGCCGGACCCTTGCTCCAGCTCCCACCCCTCGGCACGGGAAGCTCCTCCCCCCGGAGGCCGGCAAACCGCCACTTCCACAATGTCCAATCAGATACAGCTGGGGGCGGGACGCGTTGCCGATGACGGCCAATCAGGTTTGCCAAGGCGGGGCGGCGGAGGGGCCGCGCTTTTCCCAGCCTTGAGAGAGCCCGGCGCGGGCGGCGCGCGCGGGGTTCTTCTGTGCGCGCGCCCGCCGCCCGAGCAGCCCCTCGGCGCGCCCTGCCCTCGGTCGGGGTCGCCGCGCCTGTCCCTCTCTGGTTCTGCCGTAGCCTAGGACACCGAGGCCCGGGAGCCTGGCTGGGGCAGGGACTGGAGCCGCGGGACGGCGCCTGGAGGTGGGTGCGGAGCGGAGCGGGGCGGGCGGGCGGGCGGGCGGGCTAGGTCGACGCCTGGGTCGGTCCAGCTGACTGACTAGGGGTCCAAGCGGGGCGAGCCGGGGCGCGGAGCCCAGCTCTGGCGCTGCTGTGTCCTGGCCGCTGCTCCCTGCTCTCTGATATTCCTCCAGGCTACCACCCGACAGAGGACACTCCTCCCCTTTTGCCGCCCTCAGCCTCCTCACCCGGTCGCCCTTTGTCGCCTTGGCACCTTCACTCTCGACCCTGCCCTCTACTCCCCTTCAGGCTGGACCACTGACCGAGCCTTACCACCCAGCCTCGCCAGCACCAAATTGGACTAGCGCCTTCAGACCCCATCCATCTGGCTTTGTCATCTGTACCATCTCACCTGTTCACCTCAACTCTGTCCGTTCAGTCTACCACCCGCCTTCATTCAACAGCCTCATCAAAATTCAACCCATGTCTTCCTTCCAATCTCCTCCTAAGTCTACTCCCCAGTACCCTGAATGTCCCTACACCTGCCCCACTCAGCCTCAGGCCTCTGTGTTGTCGCTCCTTTGTTGTCTCTACAGCTGTCTCTGGGTTGTCCTTATAGCTGTCCCTTGGCCTCTGTTCATCCTTCCACCCCGTCAATACCAAACCCCAGCCCAGAATTCCCTCTGCCTCAGACCAGCTCTATTCTGCCAGCTCTATTCTGGCAGTCTTCCTGGTGGGGCCTAGCCCTCCTCCCTCAGCCAGGTCATCCTCTTTCTCTTTCAGCTGGTCCGGTCTCCCCTAGTCTTCTGCATTCCAGCTGACCGCCCTGTCCTCTCATGTCCTGTACTCTTCTCCGATCCCTCCTGCCCTCAGCCTGTGGCACCCTCTCCTACTTTTCTCCCCCAGCAGGTTCTCGGGGGGTCATGGAGCTGAACACCAAAAAGAAGCTTCATGCCCTGTCCCTGGCTGAGAAAATCCAGGTGCTGGAACTCTTGGATGAGTCCAAGATGTCCCAGTCAGAGGTGGCCCGGCGCTTCCAGGTCTCCCAGCCCCAGATCTCACGTATCTGCAAGAATAAGGAGAAGCTGCTGGCAGACTGGTGCAGTGGCACAGCCAACCACGAGCGCAAGCGGAAGCGTGAATCCAAATACAGTGGGATCGACGAGGCCCTGCTCTGCTGGTACCACATTGCCCGAGCCAAGGCCTGGGATGTAACGGGGCCCATGCTACTTCACAAGGCCAAGGAGCTGGCCGATATCATGGGCCAGGATTTTGTGCCCAGCATCGGTTGGCTGGTCCGCTGGAAACGCCGAAACAATGTGGGTTTTGGGGCTCGCCAGGTCCTTGTCCCTCTGTTCCCTCCTGAACCACCTCCTTCAGGGCTTCCATCCCAGGCTCAGCCACCCCTTTCCCTTAAAGACTTCTCACCAGAAGATGTTTTTGGCTGTGCCGAAGTGCCCTTGTTTTATCGGGCAGTGCCTGGCAGAGTATCTGAATGTGATCGGTTTCAGGTAGTGCTGTGTGCCAACAGCAGAGGCACAGAAAAACGAAGGGTCTTTGTGGGTGGGCTCCAGGCCGCTCCAAGATGCTTCTTTGGGGTCAACAGTGAGGCACTACCTGCTTCTTATCACCCTGACCTAGCCATCCCCTGGTCAGAGTGGCTGGCACAGTTTGACCAGGACATGGGACAGCAGGGCCGGCAGGTGGCCTTGCTGCTAGCTGCCAGAGTGGCGGAGGAATGGACCAGCCCTACTGGACTCCACCACGTGCGACTCCTGCCACTCTCTGCCTCCAGCGATATACCTTCTCTGCCTAGCTCTGTGGTTTTGGCCTTTAAGGCCCATTATCGTTACCGTCTGCTGAGCAAACTGGCTGCCATGCAGAGTGCAAAAGAGGACAGCTCACTGCCTGAGGCCAGGGCCAGCATCACAGTTCTGGATGCTCTACATATGGTGGCTGCAGCTTGGGCCAGGGTGCCTCCTCAGCTCATTTTGAGCAGTTTCATTCAGGAAGGGCTTGCTCCGGGCAAAACACCGCTGTCTCTGGACAAGGACGCTGAGATGTCACCAGTCCCTAGTGGGCTGAGCCAAGAGGAGTTTTCCCACTTTGTAGACCTGGAGGATGAGGACCCAGGACCTAGAGAGTGCAAAGAGGAGATGGGTACTGAAGCTAGAGGGAGGGAAGAAGATGGTGTTGAGTCCCTGCCCACCAAAGCTGATGCCCTGAGAGCGCTGTGCACCTTGAGGAGGTGGCTTGAATGCAACAGCACATCTCCAGAGCTCTTTGAGAAGTTCTATGACTGTGAGGTGGAGGTGGAGCAGCTCTGCTGTCTGTGAGGAAGCATGGCCACCTGCAGTCTCCCTCTCCTGTTTCCCATGGAAACGCCTCTCCAGAGGCACACTGGCTCTTTCCTGTGGAAATAGTGTGTGGAGGGTGTGAAGGGAAGGAATTTGGAACATGATGTCAAAGGTCAGGAAACATTATTCAAACCTAGAGTTTCTACAGTTGGGACCTCGGGAGTGGGGATCCAGGCAGTGTAGCTGCTAGGCCCCAGTGAAAGTTCTAGATCTTTGGGGGGAGTTAGTCTAAATAGGGTAGAACCTGGAAAGGTGGACTTCCTGACAGCAGCCCCATCCCTTGAATTTTGTGTCAAAACCAATTTTGCTTCTGGAAATAAAATGTTTAACCAGAAAGGAGGTCAGAGCGTGGTTTTTCTGTTTCCTTCCTTCCTTTTGATACAAGGTCTCATGTAGCAATAGCAAGCCTCGAACTTACTGTGTAACTGAAGATGATTTTGAACGTCTTAATATGCTTGCCTTCCTCTCCCGAGGGCCAGGATTATAGGGATTTGCCAGCATACCCTGATTTATGTGGTGTGGGAGCAAGCCCAATGTAGGCCTTCATGCATGCTGAGCTAATGTTGTATCAATTGAGCTAACTGCCCCTCCCCCCAAGGCATGGATTACATGAGAGAGAAAGACTCCTTCACACATGGACCCTCTTGGCCACATTTATGAGGAGACAGGTCTCAGGATGATCCAGGAATTTGGCAGCTCTTATCATTTCGGTGTCAGACTGTGTATAGTACAGTGGCCAGAGACAGGCCAGGGAAATAAAGTCTGGAAGTCATCCATTCATCATAGTTTTCCATCTATTTGTTCATCTCACCATAGTTCCTCCTATGTAGCAAGATTGCCAAAGTGACATCTCTGCCAAGCAGGACTAGAGGACAATGACAGGCTTGTGTAAGGTGCTTTGGCCCCACAAAGCCTAGGGAAACCCCGTAGAGGTGAGCTCTTTTTGTTGTTGTTTGTAGGGGGGTTGTTGTTTTTGTTCATGAGACAGGATCTCTCTGTGTACAGGCTGGCCAGAGATCCACCTTCCTCTGCATCCTGAGTGCTGAGATTAAAGGCATGTGCCACCATGCCCAACCTTGTTGTTTTTAAATTTTAATTCTTGTGACCGAGGGGTGGGAGGATGCATGCACATGGCACACTTGCTAGCACGTGTGTATGGAGGACAGAGGACAACTTTGTGGAGTTGGTTTTCTCCTTTCACCTCTGTGTGGGTTCTGGGTATCAAAGTCAGTTCTCTAGGCTTTTGTGGTGAGTGCTTTTACTGCTGAGCCCATCACTGAATAGAGAGAAAAGTGGGAAGGATGACAGGCCAAAGGTCAGCAATCGCAGGACAACTGGGGGTGAGGGAACACCTCTGACTGTGGAATGTATGGAGGCGAGGTGTTCTGAGAGTCCCCAGGAGGTTGAGCAGCTAGTGATCCTGTCCCAACAGTGTCTGGCTTTGGTGTTTACAGTGCAGTGCTGTGATGTGAGTCTTAACTGAGGGCCATTTGAGGTCTAGTGCTCTGACCTATGACCAGGTCACTTACTACACGGGAAGCTTGTTTACATTGGCACACACCCCGTGGCTCTTGTCTGTCTGCTTCACGTCAAGTTTATCAGTCGGCGTGGCTCTGGGAGCTGGACCTCGTCCTCTCCACTGAGTGGAGAAGGCATTCTGGGGACAACTGGATGCTGGTGTGACATGTAGGAGAGCAGGTGCAGATCTGTTCATTCAGTCAGTCAGCCCTGGGAGTGAAGCCAGGCCACCAAGCCCTTTTGTTTTTGTCTCTTTTTTTTTTTTTATTTTTAAAGATTTGAGAGGTTTTGTTAATTTTTTAAAATATTATGCATAGGAAGGTTTTGCACACGTCTGTATGTGTACCACATTTGTGCTTGTTGGAGCCCCTGAAACTGGGGTTATAGATAGTTGTTAGCCAGGTCCTCTATAAGAGCAACCAGGGCTCTTAACGCTGCCCCTCCAGCTCAGCTTCCCATCTCACTACATGTAGGAGTGCTGGCTTCACAGATCCCATCAGGCTTCGAGTATGTTCTAGCGAGTGAGTGTCCTTACCACTGCCATCTCCACGGCCCATCTTTTGCCTTTTTTTTTTTTTAAACATTTATTACACATACCGTGTTCTGCCTGCATGTATGCCTGCAAGGCAGAAGTAGAGTACCAGATCTCATTTAGATGGTTGTGAACCACCATGTGGTTTCTGGGAATTGAACTTGGGACCTTTGAAGGAGCAGCCAGTGCTCTTACCCTCTGAGCTATCTCTCCAGTCCCATCTTTTGCCTTTTTAATTACAGCTGTTCTAATAGAGGTGATGCAATGCCCTATTATAGTTTTCATTTCATTTCTCTTATGATTAATAATGTCGAGAACCTTTTAAAATCTCTGAGTCTTTGTGTTTGACCCAAGCTAGCTGGCTACATTGTCTAGACTGGTAGGTTACATGTGTGTACCGCTATGCCCAGCTCGTTTTTTGCTTTTTTGTTTGTTTGTTTAGTTGGTTGTTTTAGCTTTTGTTGTGTTGTTGTTTAGAAACCTGTGGAACACATCATCAGCGGAGGCTGACCTCTAGAAAGAAATGTGTAATTGCTTCTTCTGGACACAAGATGTAAAAATGTGATGTTAGCTGCTCAGAGGCTGCCTCCAGGGAGCAGGAACTCGGTTCCTCGTTCCCTCAGGGAGCCAGACCTTATTGTCTGTGGGAGAGAAGCAGTTTTCTTTTCCTCTTGCTGGTGGCTGGAGGTTTTTCAGTCTGCCCTTTTCCTGTGGTAATTCCTTGAGGATGTTGGCTCAGTTTCCGAGTCTTGGACTTACCTTTTCTGAGACCCAAGAACTCAAGGTTTAGTGTGCTGTTCCTAGGTTTTCTCATGGCTTTGTGTGTCCCAGCACTTACTCCAGGAGGCAGCCCTGGCCCACAGCCTTGCCTCATGTCCCTGTCCCTGGGAATGTGGGAAGTTTCCTCACTCCTTGCTCAGTAAGCAAGTCTTTCAATTATGTATGTAATAATTACCTGGAGTTTAGTTGCTCACAGAAGATGGCTCTGCTAGATGACTGCTTTCCAGAGAGGAAACGAGGAGACCAGCATTCATTCACTCATTTATTCATTTTGTTAAAACATTTTTATTTCTGAGACAGGATCTTGCAGCCTAATCTGGCTTTGAACTTAATATCTAGCCAAGCTTGAACTTCTAACTTTTTGCCTCTTACCTACTTAGTGCTAGAGTTATAGGTGTGTGTCACTATGCTCCATGTAAGCGATACAGGGGATCAATCTGGACTTTTTACATGCATGGCAAGCACTCCATCAACTGAGATGCATCCCTAGACTCTCACTATGGTTTCCTGGACAACCCTCTATGCAGCTCTAGTTCTGCTGATAGGCAATAAGGAGTGGAAGGAATGTCTGCTCCGTGGAGTTCATTAGAGAAACAGATATAATCAGGATCACACGGCAAAGGCAAAGACACTCATGTGAGATGAGCATGTCATCACAGACCAAGGAAAAGGAGTTCTCAACCTGTGGCCCACACCTGCAGCAGCACCTAGACACTTAGGGAAGTCTACAGCCTCTTGCCCTCCAAAACCCTGCTGAGCCAGAAACTCTGAGCTTTGACTCAGCAAGCTGTACTGGAGCAAACAGGTGCTTCTGAACCATTGGTGCAGCCCAAGGAAACAGATATCTTGAAGGAGCCAAGAACTGAACGATGAGGGGGAGATACAAACTCCGTGAGAAGAGCATGTGCAGACATCTTGGGGTGGGACAGACCCAGATGTGTTTAGCAGAAGCATGGTAGGACATTCATCAAGAGCAAATGTCCAACGGCATCCCCTGCTAGGGGGAGGAACTCGGAGAAATGGAAGTCATGAAAGAGTGCACTGGCTGTCTGGCTATCTATCTATCTTTTAAGACAGGCTTTCTCTGTGTAGCCCTGGCTGTCCTGGAACTCACTCTGTAGACCAGGCTGGCCTTGAACTTAGAGATTTGTCTGCTTCTGCCTCCTGCATGCTGGGATTAAAGATGTGCACCACCACTGCCCGGCTCTCAGCCATTTTTTAAAAATATTTTTATGTTAGGTGGTGATGGCACATTCCTTTATTTCTATTTTTGGTTTATTTGTTTTTGGCTTTTTGAGACAGGGTTTCTCTGTGTGGCCTTGGTTGTCCTGGATTCGATTTATAGACCAGGCTGGCTTCAAACTCACAAAGATCCATCTGCCCCTGCCTCCTGAGTACTGGGATTAAAGGTGTGTACTGCCACTGCCCAGCTCTCAGCCATTTTTAAAAATATTTTATGCTAGGCAGTAGCACGTCTTTAATTTAGGCCAGAGCTACAGGGATAAATCTTATCTTGAACTCTCTCCAAAAATATTTTTGTTATTTTTTTAAAGATTTTATTCATTTATTTTATATGTGAGTGTTCTGCTTGTGTGCCTACATGCCAGAAGAGGGCATCAGATTTCAGTATAGATGGTTGTAAGCCACCATGTCGTTGCTGGGAAGTGAACTCAGGAGCTCTGGAGGAGCAGAGAGTGCTCTTATCTGCTGAGCCATCTCTGCAGTCCCTTTATTGTTATTTTATGAGTAGGGAGGGGTTTTCTGTCTTCAGGTATTGATGTGAGGTATACCATGAGCATGCAATTCCCACAGAAGCCAGAAGAGGGCACCAGATCTCTCAGACTCTGTGAGTACTGGGACTTGAACCTGGGTCCTCTGGAAGAGCAGTCAGTAATCTTAAGCACTCAGCCATTGCTCTAGCCCCTCAGGCAGTTTTTAATCTAATTTAGCAATTGAGATGGGTATCAGACAAAGTAAGGAAGGATGTAGGTAAGAAAGAGACAACTTGGAGAGCGGCCAGGCCATGAACATGGGGTTGGGAGGTTCAGCAGGCGTGTGTGTGGTGGGAGCAGAGACAGGAGGGGGTCGCCGGTACTGCTTCAAATGAAACTTTATTGCATGCATGTTCAAGAGACAGAAGTCTAGCCTTGCCCACCAGACTCCCACAGACCAAGTCAGAGGAGTGAAAAAGTAACCGTGAAGCACTGCACACAGCTGTGACTGAGGTAGACAGGAGGGCTGGGTTGCTGGGCACGCCACAGTCAGCACAGAAGGGGCTGGGAGGGCCCCAGAGTCAGAGCTCTGCCTCTCGGATCTTGGGGAAGAGTGGGCCACTGGAGGGACAATAACAACACGCCACAGCACTCTGGGCACATGAGGGACCACAGCAGGAAGTGACCAAGAGAGAGGAACACCTAATGGGCAGGACAGCCAGGAGCTGGGACCTGGGTTTCCCTGAAGGTAATGGAGAGGCAGAAGACATTCTCCTGGCCAGGGGGATGGTCTGAACCCCAGGGCTGGGCAGGGCCAGGCCAGTGGACTGGTCCCTTTAGTGATTTACTTATGCCTCGTGTGTGCCCCTGCTTCCTGGAAAGCATCCCTTGCGGTGAGGTGGGTGGGAATGAGTGTGTCTTGGAGTCTGTACAGGACCAGGCTCATTGGTTTCTTGCACTTTGGCTCCATAACTCTTTGAGTGATACAAGGCACCTCTTGGTCTGTACCTAAAAGCTGGGTGCTTTAGCTTGGTTTTCCAAGTTGCTGTCAGCCATGATCCTGCTGTGGAGTTGCTGGTATCGCCTGCCAGGTTCATCTCCACAATCGCAGAAGATATTCGTAGCTAAGGAAGGTGGCAGCATTGACAGGAAAGGCACGGGCACTATTGAGGGTCATGCCCTTGAAAAAGACGCCTATCCCCTCTTGCTGGAAGCTGCTTGCCATACAGTCCAGCATGCCCCGGTACTTCCTCCCTTTCAGCCCGTCCATCTGCATCCGGGACTTGATCACGTCGAAAGGTGTGGCTGTGACCCAGGAGGCTAGGCCTGCAAAGCCCCCCGCCACCAGTACTGTGGCTGAACCTGGGACAGAGGGAACATGTGAGTCAGACCTTCAGCCCCTCCCTGGCCTCTGCTGTATCCCCACCCCGCCCCATCTCAGCACACTTACTGGGATTCTGGCCTTCTGGTGTATACTGGCGACAGAGCCCTTCATAGGTGACAAAGTACATTCCCAACGTCGGGGTGTCCCTCAGCACCAGGGCCCACGATCCTCTGAAGACTCCCTGGGGTCCTTCTTCTCTCAAGATGGAGGCTGCACAGTGCACGGGACCCCGGTACCTGGGTTCAGAGCTCCTTATCTGCATCCTTGGCTCTGTCTGGTTTTGTAGACGGACTTTGATGAGGTCAAAAGGAGCCAGGCAGTAGGCCTATGGAGAAAGACATGGAGGGAATTGGGTGGGGATTAGGCTTGGGAAATATAATCACAACAGGACAGAGAGGCTTCTGCCACCAACTCCTAGCCTCTCACATACATGACTGGGTTGAGCCAACTGTCTGGGTGCTGTTGAGAACAAGCTGCCCTCTTAATTATCAGGCCTGATAGGCTCAGTAGTGGGCCCTCCTCCTGAGATAGCAGGCACAGGCACTCAAGGACAAGCAGGAGTGGGCTACTGATTCCAGGGAGGACACATGTTTGCAGTAGCTGGGGCTCAGGAAGGGTTCAGCAGGGGCTGGAGCGATAGCTCAGAGGTTAAGAACACTGGCTGTCCTTCCCAAGGTCCCAGCAACCATGTGGTGGCTCACAACCATTTATAGTGGGGTCTGGTGCCCTCTTTCGGTGCTCAGGCATATATGCAGACAGAATGCTGTATAAATAATAAATAAATCTTTAAAAGAAAAGGGGGTCAGGAAACAGTAAGGAGCTAATGCTGCAGGTGAAGGAGGTCACCTCATTGGCATTGTTCTAAAACAGACCCAACATCATAGAGTCTCCTGTCTCCTTCCTTCCCTTCTGCTCCATGACTTTCTGAGGCCCCAGGGCAGCCCTCCCTGCCTCTGACCAAAAAGGCTTGTAAGGGTGGTAACAGGTGGGATTTGGTAGGCACTAGAGCCCCAAACAGCCAGGACACAGATCTGGTTTGGCACAGGACTGAGCTGGGAGGATGTGGAGAACAGAAGCTCACCACACCAGTGAGGTTTGAGTCTGGGATGTAACTGTGTCATGCAGCTAGCTGACCAAGGTGACACATGCCTTTAATCTCAGTGGATCTCTGTGAGTTCAAGGCCAGCTTGGTCTACATAGCAAATTCCAGACAAGCCCCTGCTATACAGTGAGACCCTGTCTCCAGAAAAACCAGGAGAAACCACTGAAGTTCAGATAAGGTTCTAGCTGGGTGTGTTGGGCTGGTGCCTGTAACTCCAGAGGCTTTGATGAGAGGAGTACACAAAGAGTTCAAGGCTAGCCAAAGCTACACAGTGAGTTCCAAGTCAGTGTGGGCTACCGAGAATGAAACCCTGTCTCCATAAAGCAGTCCTGGGGGGCTGGAGAGATGGCTCAACAGTTAAAAGCACTGGCTACTCCTCCAGAGGACCCGGGTTCAGTTCCCAGCATGCACATGGTGGCTCCGTATAGACATCTGTTACTCCAGTTGCAGGATCCAACACCATCTTCTGGCACATGGGCACATGGTGCGCAGACATGCATGCAGGCAAGGCATCCGTACACATAAAATAATAAATATATCAATTTTAAAACATTTATTAAAAAAGAAACCCAAAAGCAACCAGGGCTGGAGAGATGGCTCAGTGGATAAGAGTGTATACTGCTTGTCCAAAGGGCCTGAGTCTGGATCCCAGTGCCCACACAGGTAGCTCACAGCTGCCCAGAACTCCAGTTGCAGGGGATCATATGCCCTCTTCTGGCCTCTACAGGGAGAATTTTAATTTAATTTTAGAATTAATTAAAAAAAATCAAAACAGTGTCACGTACTGTCATCCTAGCACTTAGGAGGCAGAGGCTGAAGCTGACCTGTCACTGGTGTGCCCTTGTTGTCTGTGTCTGGCTAGAAGCATGTGAGTTCAGCTCTAGGCCTGGCCGGTAGCAGAGGCGCTGGCAGCTCACTGGTGGTGGGCTTTAGCGGGTACAGGCCACATTGCAGGCAACTGCCTCAGCAGAGGATGGAGCCCCTTTGTAACAAGAGGCCGATGCTCCTCCCACCGCCTGCCAGCAGGGCTGAGCTGAGGCCATTTTGTGGGATGGGAACCATGGGGCCTAAAGGGTTACTTAGCCCCTAAACAGGGCCACAAGCAAAGTTTGTGCCATCGGCTGCCAGTTCTTGCCCCTTCTTCCCACTTTCTAACTGAAACACAATTGGCTCCAAGACCCTGTTGACAGATGTCCCAGGATACCCTGGCTTCAAACAGGTTCCTCAACCAGTCACCATGTGTGCCCTTAACAGTCCCTGGTTCTGCTTTTCAGAGAGATGAAGAGAAGGTAACTGAGAAGTAGAGTCTAGCTGGGCCTAAGTCAGGCCGCTTTCCAGCTTTCCAGTGGGTCGCTTCCTGTTTTTGAGGGGTATAGGCCTCCAGATTTAAGAACTATGTGGGCACATCTCTGTATAATAAGGAACATAAAGCTTGGTTGGGCGGCATAATAACCATAATCCTGGAATTTGGGGAAAAGACGAGAGGACTGTTATAAGTTTGAGGTTAGCCTGATCTACATAAGTGACTTACAGGCCAACCAGGGCTACATAGCAAGATCTTGTTTTGAAAACACTAGAGGGAAGGGGGCCGGAGAGATGGTGCAGCGGTTAAGAACACTCACTGAGGGCTGGAGAGATGGCTCAGCCATTAAAGGCTAGGCTCACAACCATAAATGTAAGAACAGTCACTGCCCCTGCAGAGGACTGGAGTTCGGTTCCCAGCACCCGCCTTGTAGCTCAAAAGCATTTGCAGAAACTTCTGTTCCAGGAGATCCAACACCTTCAGACCTCTGCAGCCACTGCACCGAATGGTACATATGCATATAAAAAGTAAGCTTTAAAAAATAATAAAAGGAGGAGGGAGAAGAAGAAGAAAAGCCAGGATTCTCTGGGGTCTCTTTAATCATTAACCTCTCAAGTGCACACCCTGACTTTGTCCTCTTGCTCTCTGCCCTATGAAGTATCAGTGGCATCAGGGCAGGTACCATTAGAGGGTAACCCAGGAGCCCATCTGGGGTGTAGGGTTGAACTGGTACCTGTCCCTTTGTCCCTTTCTGCTCAGACACTCCCTTTAGCTCAGGTCACCTCTGGGACCTGGAAACTCTTCTGGTCTCCACCACACCTCACAGGAACCTGGTCACTACAGTGCTGAGAACAAAGACCAAAATAAATGATGGCAGCGACTCAGTGATTGGTCGACCCTGCGGTCTGTGACCTGTGGCTTCAGGCAAGGCTCAGAGATTATGGCTACAGAGTATGGCAGGCAAAGGCCTAGCTGAGCAGGTAGGGCAATCACTAGGACCACCTTAGGATCACTTCAGGGCAGAACTCAGCTCTACTGGGGACAACAGTTCCTCAGGGTCAAAGGTCACCATGCCGCCTAGGCTTCCCACAATTGTGGGCTAGTAGAATCCTCAGAAAGTAGGCAAGCCTGACAGAAGGCATTGGCTCTTTCTACCTGGCATCTTCTTTGCACTGTCCCCCAACTTTCTGCTCTTTGCCCCCCTGGTCTCCATGACCTTTCACCTCCGGGCATGTAGCCTGGCAAGGCACAAGATGGCTAGGCCACAGCCTTAACAAGCACGGCTGGGAGTCCCTGGGGGTGGAGGGTTCAGATCCATCGCTCTGCCAACGTGCGTTCATCCCGACCCTCTCACCTGCAGGAGGCCCCCAGTACAGCCTGCTATGAAGATGTTTGTGTAGCTGGGTGGCTGGGCCCGCCGCTCCTGGTGGGAGGTGGCTGTGAGCGCCAGCAGCGTGTTGCTGTACACTCCGAACAGGACGGAGTTGACCAGGGCTACGCTGGCAATGGGGAAGCTCATTCCCTTGAAGAAGCCCAGGACCTGCAAAGCAACAGGGTAGCACCGTGAGAGGAATGCTGGGCTTCCGTGTCCCGCTGGCAGCTCTGGCCAGGGGAGCTGAACATCACTTTTGTCTACGCCCTGTCTCAGGCAGACAGCAGGTGGAGGAGGCTGTGAGGACCTCGGCTCCACTTTTGGGGTGCCGAGTGACTGCCAGGCACCCTCAAGGGCTGAAGACTTGGAAGCCATTAGCAAGCAAAAGGGAACAGGTGCCGCCTGCCCAGGATGACCCCTACACCAGGAAGCGGGCCACCTACCGACTCATGACGGTAGGTCTTCACCACGCAGTCCACAATGCCCTGGTATGTGTTCTGGGTCTGTAACCGCACCTAGACGGAATAGTCCTGGGCATGTGAGGCAGATGGGCAAGCCGGGGCTGCTCCCACAGTGGCGGCCAGGTCACTCACATGGCAGACGCTGGCTGGCACACCAGTGAGCCAACCCGCTTTGCCAAGCCCAGCCTGCATCACCCGGGTTCCAGCCAGGCCAGCTGCTCCTCTGGCACCTCCGCCTCACTCACCTTTACAGTGTCAAATGGGTGCCCCAGGACCAGGCCTACAGCTCCTGTGGTGGCAAGAAGGCAGGAAGAGTGAGGGCTGCGCGCCAAATCTAGGAAACAAGTCTGTGCTAGAGCAAAGAAGGGGCCAGGCAGGGGTGGGAAGGCTGGGAGTACTCAGACATCCGCCACCCACGTTCTTGGGGCTCCGCAGAGCTTCCAACCGCCCTACCCCACCACACCACACCTGGAACTGGCCTACAAAGGTGCTGGGACAAAGGAGGGAGATCTCTGGGGTCATCTGAGGACACGCACACAGTAGGAAAGAATGAGCTGCAGCACTGTCCCCAGCCCTGACTGTGGAAGAGGAGGCTCTAGAGCAGCGGCTCTCAACCTGTGGGTCTCAACCTCACTGGGGGTTGCACATCAGATATTTATGTTATATTTGTAACAGGAGCAAAATTACAGTTAGGAAGTGACAACCAAATAATTGTATGGTTGGGGGGACACCACAGCATGAGAAAGTGCATTAAAGGGTCAAAGCATTAGGAAGGTTAAAAACCCCTGCTCTGGAAGGCTACCGTTGCAGCCTGCGTCAGCTGGACTTCTGCCTTCCTCTCAGAGTTCTGTGGCCTTGAATGAGAACAGGGCCTGCCGGCCCCTTCCTCCTGCCTTGTCACAATTATCAGTGCAGAACTGGGAGCCCTTCTGTGCGTCCTTCCAGCCCCAGGGGAGAAAGCCACCCACTAGCTAGTCTTATTCTCCACAGAAATGCTGCTTCTGGGGCCTGGAGAGTGGCCAGGGGCATCACCCGGGCAGGTTCCTGGTATCCTTTCTCAAGGCCCGGGAGTGCCACCCATTGCCAGGTAGGACAGATTTCCAAAGGGGAAGCAGGACAGCAGGTGAGATCAAAGGTGAATGTTCTTTGGGCCCCTCACACTGGTCTGGGAGAAGGGGCTTAGGTGAGGCGGTTCCCTGGCTCTTGGATCCTCAGTGTTCTCTGGCAGCATAGCCTTCGGATGCGGAAGTATCCCCTCCTTGCTTCTTTCCTGTCTGCCTCCTTGGCCATTCCCTGAAGGCTCTTAGGACAGCTGGCTGCTGCGTGGCGCTTGCTTCAAAAGAACAACTCCTCTTGACAACCCATCCTCCCCAGGAAGTGACCCACCCATAAAGGTGATGTGACAGAAAGAAGGAAAACGTCTCACCAGAGATCCAGCCGGCCACAAACTCCTCCACAGGCATTGTATAGGCTCGCGTGGGAACTGGTGCTCCAGGCAGGGCCGCCGAGGAGACTGTTGCTAGTGAGATTCCCCACCCCCTTTCCGAACCCGATAAACCTCCCACTAATGTTTAACCCTGGCTGGAGGGTGAGTGGTGGCCCAGTGCCCAGACCTCAGGCAACCATTAGCGAGAGTGAGCCAACGTCAGTGACCCTGAGACTGAAGAGGCCTGAGAAGTATGGAATCTCTAGGGGCAGGTTAACAGCCACAGCTAGCCTGAGTCCTGTGCCTGGATGGTGACAACCAGGCTGTGTGACCGAGGATGGCAACTGAGTCCTAGCTTGGCGAGCGTCTCCAAGGCTGCCCCAGTGATTAGGGATCAGGGCCCTGCCTGACCAGCAAGTTTATAGCAAGTTCCCATTCATTCCCATGGAACCCAGGCCTCACCCACCCTGACAAGCTGCGAGGCTATGTCAAGTCAGAACGTGGCCACCAGGTGGCAGTCCTGGGCCGCAGTGGCCTGCAGGAGCCACCTGAGCCTAGGGCAGGAGGAGAAACAAGCCGAAAAAGAGGGCCCGGCTCCCAGAAGTGACTCACCAGGCCCTGAAGCCTGTTTGTCTGCTCTCTCCAGAGTTGTTTACAGGCATGAGTCAGAACCGCAGCCTCCTCTTCCCCAGGGGAAGGAACAATGGGCTTTTTGACTGTGCGCTGGCCGGGTGCTACTCCGTCCAAACCAAAATCCTGCTCTCCTGGCCTGTGCCTCTGCCTTGGGATGATGGAGCAAGGTGGCCCTGAGCAGATGCCAGGGCCTAGATTTTGGAGATTTCTCTGTCTCGAAACTGCAACCAGTAAATTTCCTTTCCTTAAAAATCAAAAAGAAAGAGACAATCTCTTCTACACTGTCCGAGCCCTCCTCACAGTACCGCCCTTCTCCTCTGACCTCATGTCCTGCTTCCTGCTTCACTGGGGGAATAAAAAAAGAGCTCTCAGCCCTGAGGCCCTAAAGCCGACTTGGCTTCATTTCCTCTCCCTGGACAAACTCTCTCTTGCCTCCTTCAAGCTGGGGCTGAAACATCACCTTCCTAGCGAGGCCTCCCAAGTCATCCTGGAGACAATTGCAGTCACCAGCAGCCTGCACCTCTCTCTCCCAGGGTCTTCCTCTCCTTTCTCCTCCTGCTTGTCTCTGCCCCCTTATATGCAGCTAACTGGCTGTCTGTGCAATCAAGGGCCTGTGGCTGCTTTATCCACTTACATGCTTAAAGGATTAGAGGATGTGATTAGGGTAGACGTAATACTTGCTAATGAATGATGAATGGGTACATGAATAGGAAGGTCAGGGATAGCATCAGTGGCAAGAAGAATGAAAAAGTCCATCAACTGAGGAGTGGACAAAGACATGTGGGACATTTACACAATGGAGTTTTAAGGTCCAGAGGACAATGGAACGATGCCATTTGCAAGAAAATGGATAGAAATAGATCATCATGCTCAATAAAATAATCCAACCTCAGAAAAGCCATTGTCACATTTTCTCTCATTTGCAGAATCTAAAATTTAAAATGTAGGTGCTGGAAAGGTGACTCAGAGGTGAAGAGGGCTGTCTGCTCTTCCAGAGTTCCTGAGCTCAATTCCCAGCAGCTGATGCTGGCTCCCAACCAGTCTATCCTAGGATCTGATGCCCTCTTCTGGCGTGTAGGTGCATGTGCTATGTAAAATAAATACATCTTTTTAAAGTCATTAATTAATTGATTGGTGTTTCAGAGACAAAGAACATGCATATGTTTGCCACAGCACTCATCTGGAAAGCAGAGGACAGCTTTGGGGCGCTGGTCCCCACCTCCCATGGTGGGTGTTAAAGCAGTTCTTTTTTATTCCTCACGCTGAACGGGATCTGCCAGCTTTCAGGTGACTCATCTCCTCCCCCGAAATGGCTGCAGAAGTGTTGTGGCTCCAGGTGCCTGCAGTCAACCTGGGTTGTTAGGAATGGGGTAGGCACGCTTCCTCACAAAGCCATCTCCAGATTCTAGAGTAAGTGTGCATACGAGTAACACACACACACACACACACACACACACACACACACCACAGGACAGGACAATAAAAGGGAGAATAGATGGGGAAGGAAAAGACCAAAAAGTGGGGAACAAGAGGCAGCGATGAAACGGCAGAGAAAGATAAAAGAATCCCACATTTTTTTCTCAGGTGAAGCTCAGGAGTAGAGTGTTTGGTTCACCTGTGCGAGGTCCTGGGTTTAACCCTCAGCACCACACACACACACACACACACACACAGAATGTTTAAGGTATTCAGCACATAAATGGTGGCTACTAATCCTCTTGATTCCATTCCTAGAGCCCATAAGATGACATGAAACCCACAGGAAAGGACTTGGCCCATCCAGCACATAGTAGTTAAGCAGGAACTGAAGATGCTCCCCTCTCATGGTTTCTATCTCCCACAGCAATACTGTGGCCTTTTGTAATATTTGTTATTGTTATTTCATTTTTTGTTGTGTTTTTCTTTTTCTTTTTTTTTTGAGACACAGCCCAGGCTGACTTTGCTGCTGGCTGCTGATCTTCCTGCCTCCAACATCCAAGTGCTAGGATGACAGGCATTTGCCCCTATGTCTGGCCCACCTACTATAGTTCTGCTTGTTTTTTGCTTTTCTCAATACAGGGTCTCAGCACTTAGTCCTTCCTGCCTCTGTCTCCTTCTGCTGGGATTAAAGATTCGTGTGCCAGCAAGTTTGGCTCTAAATGAATTAAATTAAAAAGCTTAAGAAAACAAAAACAAACAGTGAAGACAGGCCAGGAGCTAACGTCTGCTTTCCAGCTAGGAAACCAGGTGCAAAGGAGAACTCACGTCACCATTGCTCCTGATCTTCAAGCCACTGTTGCCACCTGGAACAAGCTCTGGTTATGTGACTTGTGTATGGCCCATGGACTTGTTTTTCTCTACACATTCAAAGCCATGGGCGCACACATGGTTGGGCACACATATGGAGGTTTGTCAGGACAAATAGGTGAAACAACTTTGGGAACCACAATGCCTCTTCCTAGCCTAGAACCTCAAGATCCTGGAGGCTATATGTCTAACACAGCCAGGCCTATGTGGCTGCGCCCTGGAAGGACAGCAAGCAAGTCCTGGTGTTTCTAACGTACACAACAAAATTTGAGGGTGAAAGGGATTATTGAGAGCCATTTAGTCCAATCTTCTCACAACACAGATCTAGAGGGCAAGGGACTTGTCCAGGGCCCCGACTCCTGTCCAAGATCAAAAGCCAGACGTCCTTCGGGCCTTCAGGACACTACCGGGAGGAGTCAACACCACCCAACGCCCAACACCCTGTGGTTCCCAAGCAAGCATCTCCATTTCAGAGAGGGGCCCATCAAGTCACACGGAGCGGTAGCCGCACGCTCGCGCCCTCGTTTTTGGTTTTCCTGCATCTTCGCCACATCCTATTACAGAGCAAGGGTCTTATGTATGGAGCAACACGGGTCGTTCAGGTAGGTGGCTGGGTGGGTGGGTGGGGGGGATAGCTGAAGACGCGAGCGACACAGGACTCCGAATGTCAGGGGCGTGGCTAGGCCAGGCTCCGGCCGCGGGCTTTCGGGCACGACCCAGCTTAGGGCAGGAGTGCGTAGGAGGGGCCGAAGGGCGAAAGGCAGGAACGCGCGTGCGCCGAGGCTCTGCGTTCTGATTGGGTCCCTCGGCCGGAGAGGCGGGGCCTCGGGTCTGTGCTTCCTCCCGCGGCAGCTTCCGCGGTGCAACGCCCGCGTCCGGACCCTCCGCGGGAGCCGGGGTCCCACCAGCGGTCCTGGTGGTGGGCTCAGAGCTGGACGCCTGACTCGGGTGGCATTCTGGCGTGAGGCAGTGCGCTCTGCGACCCTGCGAGGTGAGAGCGTGGCCACACCCTGCCCGGGTCCCCTCCCTGGACGGGGGCGCGCCTTGACTTGTCTGAACATTCCTGGCGAGCGACCTGCGACCCCTGTCCCTGACGGTCACCTCTCTGACCCGGTGCCGTCCGACCCGCACTCGACAGAGGGCCACGTACCACTTTCAGTCTGCGCCTTGATCCCTGTACACATATTAAGACTTGGAGATCGAGCCCGGGACCCGTTTGCTTCTTGATTGAGAGCTTGAGGAGGCGCCAGGACACCCATTAATTGTCTGTCGTTCCTGTTGCAGATGGATGGGGCCGAAGGCAACGCGGGGCAGCCCGGCCCTGCGGAGCGGTCCCACCGAAGCAGCGTATCCTCCGTGGGGGCCCGAGGTAGGTCTCTACCCTTTTTTTTTTTTTTTTTTTTTTTTCATTTCTCTTGTACCCTTTTTGGTCCCAGCCCCCAGCACTGGGGACATGGCTCCGGTTTGTCTACTTTGTAAGTGTTAATCTTGTAGTAAGTGAGAAATAAGATGTGATAAGGTGTGTCAAACTCACAGATGTCAGAAGACCTAGCTGGGCTCTGTCACTAGCTCAGTGAGCAAGCAATACACTTTTTTTTTTTTAATTTTTTTTTAAAATGTGCATTTGCGTTTTGCCTCCGTGTATTTCTCTACGAGGGTGTCAGATCTTGAAGTTACAGGCAGTTGTGGGCTGTCATGTGGGTGCTGGGAACTGAACCCAGGTCCTCCTGGAAGAGCAGACAGTGCTTTAAACTGCTGAGCCGTTTCTCCAGTCCCCCAACCTTCTCTTGTTTGTGAAAAGGTATGTCTTCAAATGAAGACACATGAATGGGAAATGATACCACTTTCTTTGTTCCATTTCTTTTCGAAAACAGCTCTTTGAAAGCAGGGATTCTCTACCTCTTCATTTTATTAGTGGGAAATTGAGCCCTAGAGAAGGTTGTTAGGTCTCTGACTACTCGAGCTGGCCAAGGTGATCATGAACTTGAAGCCTTCAGGGCTTAGCTTTCCTGCCTGTAAAGTGGACCTGAACCTCAGACTCCTGGAGGAGAGTGAGCTCTCCAAGTAGCTATTGCAGCAGAAGAGACCACAGCCTGAAAAGCTTCTCCAGTATGCTGTGTGCCGTGCCCAGCTTCATTGGATTGGTGGCGAATCCAAAATAACCCTTTGAGAAAGGGTTATTAACTGCTTTTTACAGATTTACGATTGACACAGAGACTCATCAGAGTCAGTCAAGAAGCAGACAAGAGAATGTGGGCCTCCAACTCAATGCTCCTTTACTGTGCCTGTGGTTCAAGGATGGGGAAGTTTGAGTATGGCCAAAACCTGCCAAGCATCTTCCTTTGGCTCCAACTTGTTATCAGAGGAATGTAGTCGCTGTTTTTAAACTCTAATTTATTTGGGGTTCCTAAAACTTCTACCTCCCTTCCACCCCCCCCCCCCAACCTTAGGTAGGAGAGAAAGAAAGTTAGAAGGGAAAGGGGACATAGACCTCTTCACTTCTTCCAGCTGGGTAGGGTCATCTGG